CCTTACGAGGAAAATATTACCACGCCTTTACGAGGAAAACTTTCCTCGTAAATTCGCTACAACCTTACGAGGAAAATGTCTTTACGATGAACGTGTTTCGAGGAAACGCGTTTCCTCGTAAGTTCCTAGTAAAAGGCCATTTACTAGGAACTAACGAGGAAAACCCGTCCTAGTAATGGACGAGTTTTCTTGTAGTGCAACAATAATGAAATAAGCTTTTAAAAGTTTAAGATTAACAAACCAAAGGTAAAACCGTATTGGTTTATATTAGTTCGATATCTGTTACTTTTTTCACGGTAAGGTGTATTATATTTGTTCCATCCTTTCAAACATCTATCCATGTCACAACAAACTTTGTAGGTAAAGAAGGCCAATAACCTGTAAAGAAATTATAAAATTAAAAAACAAGAGGAAGATAGGAAAATTAGTTGTTGCTAACAGATGCAAAGCTGATAAGTATGACAATGACAAAAAGAAGAGCTCATCTGATTCCAAATGATGATGCAAAATAAAAGATACATAAAAAATGTAGTTTATCTAACTAACAGAGATTTATCAAATTTAAGATTTAGGCATGTTTACTATCATATCAAATTGTTGATATATATTATGTGAAAAAGGTAACATGTTTCACAACATAATATATATGTATAAACGCTAATTAAATATTATTATTGTATGATGCAGTCAACATTTATAAATTAATCTTAAATAATAATTAAAATGAATTTTTCAGTCAAATAATAAATAATTAAGCTATTACACTTTCAAATTGTCATACATATATTTAAATTTAAATTTCTTTTATTCTACAATCAAATTAATATCTCAATATCATCGATACATATTCAGTGTTCTAATTATAAAACCATAGCTAAGCCATATCAATATTAGCAAAACCGGCGCGTAGCGCCGGCAAATCCCTAGTAACGATATAAATCTGAAAGTTCAAAGAATTTTTATAAGCTCTTATTACAAGAAACGCATTATGATATAACTGATTATATCGTAAAAAAAAGTTATTAACCTTTAGCTTGATTGGTTGAGCATTTGGTCCAGTAATTTTTTTTTTGATCACCCATTTGGTCCAATAAATAAAAAAAGATAAAACTAGAATTTCAATTTACGAGGAAACAGGAAGACCCAAATTCAGACAGAAAAAAAGAGGTCAAGAAACTCCAAAAATGGGATTGTTCTCAAACAGGATCTCTAGAGAAGAAGTGAAACCTGGAGATCACATCTAAACATGGCGTACTGCCTACGTCTACGCTCACCACGGTTCTCTCCCTCACTCATTTCCCTTTGTTATGTTTCTATGTTTTTATTGAATGTTTTTTCTCTCTTACAGGAATCTATGTAGGCGATGGGAAAGTCATACATTTCACTCGTGGAGGTGGTCGACAAACTGAAACGGGGACGTTTTTGGACAAGTTTGTCGTTAGTTCATCTTCAAATTATCCTCCGTGTCTGTTTTGCAGAGATAATCACAGCTTCAACGGTGACAAGGTCATTACCTCTTGTCTTGATTGCTTTCTTGCTGGAGGAAAGCTCTACCTCTTTAAGTACGATGTATCTTGGGTTGCCTTTCTTGCCAAACCTAGAGGTGGTACTTGCACATTAGCACCTTCAGATCCTCCTGAGGATGTTATTCTCCGTGCAAACATCCACTTACTTCTAGATGGGTGGTTTGGTGATTATAATGTCGTTGAGAAGAACTGTGAAGATTTTGCAATCTATTGTAAAACCGGTTTGCTGCTCGCTAAAAATGCTGGGTTGGGAACCAGTGGTCAAGTCAATTCGGTAGAAGCAGCTGTGTTTGCTGCACTTGTGCTTGGTTTCCGTGGGTTACCTGTGGCCGGTTTTGCTGCGTACTGTTTTTCTCGCCTTAGTGCTGACGTAGGTGTGCCAAGGCCACCTGGTGATGTGATAAAGGTCCCTGTGAAGAAGCTCGTTTCCATGTTGAAATCGGCAGAAGTTTAGGCTGATTGAAGCATGTGCCGGTTTGTAAGTTTATGTGTGAATGATGTTGGTGCCTAGTTGGTTTTGTTGTTGAGTTCTTTTCTTTTTCTTGGTCAACGTTGTTGAACTCTAAATGTCTAATATTCTACGTTCCTTCATTAATTCTAACCCGGTTTGTTCTAACTGACTGGAAAAAAACGAATACAAGATCAAATTTTAGCCAAAAAAAAAAAAAAACGAATACAAGATACGATCTGAGTAATCGGTTTAGCTTTGAACTAATTGTTTGCTTCTGCTCTGACTGTATTTTCACCTAGAGAAAGAAGGCCGTATCATAAATTAAACTATGAAAACTGTTTATTCTTTATAATCGTTATAACCACGCAAGAGATGTGAATGTTTAGGTGTTTCCAATGCCTGTTAGTGGGTACAGTGGTAAGGTTTGTTTTTGCTTACTGAAGAAGGAAACACGGTTTCAAAATTATATAAAAGCTTTGATAAAAAATAAAGAAAGAAAACTATATAATAGGCAAGTCAATTACTACTAGACAACAAAAGTTATTCTAATGGTAAACCAAAATAAAAGTTATTCTAGACTTGTAGTGGACTCAGGAAATGTATTGTATTTGATCCGTACTGGAATTAAACTTTAAGAAATTTTATTCGGCTTCAGTGCGGTTCTAATCTTTTAATTAATTCCGATTAACAACACTTAATTGGAAAATGCAAAATGATTGTCGAATTAACCAATATTTGCAAAATAAGACTCCAACAATTTATTATGTAAATTACAAACTAAGCATCCAACAATTTATAATGTAAAGATATATCGTCGAACACGATGACGTGATTTCTACAAAATACTTTTTTTTCTTTTGAACGTTGATTTCTACAAAATAAAGTATTTGTTATTTTCTTATAAATATGATGGCTGCTTAGTAGATTTCATAGTTTCGGGGTTCTTGTACAAACTTTTGATAGTCTAAGGGCATATATTAATATTTCGAAACTTTAAATAAGGAAAAGACAGAAAGAAAATCAGAAAACCTAACTCATTAAGCAAAAGTGAATCTCCTCTGTCAGGCAGAAGAAGAAGATGGGATTGTTCTCCAACAAAATCTCCAGAGATGAGCTCAAGGCAGGAGATCACATCTATTCATGGCGTTCTTACATCTACTCCCATCACGGTTCCATCTCCTTCTCACTCTCTCTCTTAATCGACATTTTCATTTTAGTCTCGATCACGATCTTTAGCTTTTATTTTCTGGGTTAATAGGAATCTATGTAGGAGATGGTAAAGTCATTCACTTTACTCGTAGAGGTGGTCTTGAAATTGGAACCGGTACTTATCTAGACAAGATCATCCAGTTTTCAGTTCCTCGTCACGGAGGAGACAACAACCCTTGTCCTAATTGCGATAATCAATCGATCCTAGACGGCGTAATGACTTCTTGTCTCGACTGCTTTCTCGCTGGAGGAAACCTCTATCTCTTCCAGTACAATGTCTCAAAGGCTATCCTTGTCGCTAAACAACGAGGCGGTACCTGCACTACAGCACCTTCAGATCCTCCTGAAGATGTCGTTCACCGCGCGAGATTCCTCTTATCTTGTAATGGTTTTGGTGAGTACCATCTACTGGATAATAACTGTGAAGATTTTGCTATCTATTGCAAAACTGGTTTGCTTGTTTTTTCTGTCACCAAGTCTGGGAGCAGCAGCCAGGTTAATTCGGTGTGTGCAGCGGGTGGTCTTGCTTCTTTGACGCTGAGGTTTTTAGGGGTGGGAAGAGGTGGTGGTCAAGCGGCTTCGTTGGCGGCTTCTCCGGCTTCGATGGTTTCTGCTGCGACTAGTGCTATTTCGACGACGCTTGGATTTGTGACTACTGGGTTTGCAGCCATGGCTGTGACGGGGTACAGTAACTACTGTATTGGTCGTGTGGTTTATGACGTTGGTGTGAGAAAGGATGTTCGGAAAGTCCCTGTGGAGGAGCTTTCTACACTTATGGCAGTTCTAGAAGGCAATTTGGACAATGGCATCAGCAACTACGACAAAAACAAGTAGTGGATAATTACTTAAAGCACTTGTTTCATGGATGGGTTGATGACTAAGAGACTTTGCTTATGCTTTGTTTGTATTGTGCAAAACTGTATTTTTAACTATTTGTGGAAGTGGCAAATACAGCCAAAACAATAATATTATTTTCAAGAACTAAAACTCTTCAAGACATTTAGATAAAGGTCAACTCCATGATAAAGCTGCTTACTTTTCATTTACATTAAGAGAACTGGAGAGTCAAGACCGCAAGTTCCTTCTCAGACATCACTATAACGGAGCTAGATCTTACAGTTAGCAATGCTGATTATAATAAATAGGTTGAGGAGTTGGAGCTGAACCATAGAGCCCATCAGCTACTGGGTCCAAATAGAGGCCAAGAAAAATAAAACTTCAATATTTAGCTATAATTAGATGATTTCCATGTAAATCGTTTCATATTACTTTATTAAAAAAAAATAAACTTAAATATTTAATTTTATCTAGAAGACTTACACATAAATTTTTCCATAGACGATTTACACGAAAGTCTTCCAAACTTTTATTTCGAGATTATGGTAAAACATTTGTTATTATAAATGACTTCCATATAAGTCATCTACCGGAAGACTTATACGAAGACTTAAGTCGTCCAGAAAAAAAAAATTATGTTTTATTTTTCAATTGTAAAAATAACCTGACACAACTTATATGGAAGTCGTATAACTATAATTAAATATTGAAATTTTATTTTTCTCTTGGACGATTTCTTTGTAAGTCGTCTAGAAAAAGTAAAATTTCTAACATAATCCGGTCAAATGACTGAACTGCTTATCTAGAAGATTTACCGGAAAGTCTTCTATAGTGTTTTTGAGATTTTTTTGTTAACAAAAGTAAGCCAATATTTACAAAGAAAGACTTCCAAAGATTAGATTTCTCCGAAAGTCTTCCTTTGTAAATTTTCAATTGCAAAAATGATCTAAATGGACGATTTCCTAGAAGTCTTCTAGACGATTTTAGTGGAAATTTTCTATGTTAATGTTTAATAAACTTTCATTTTTTTAAATTGTAAAGACATTTTTACATTATTTAATGAATTCATATATATTAGTCGATATCTGGGGTTCTAAATGAAATTCAGGACTTAACTGATTTTAGTTATGAGATTACCAATATTCATGTTTATTAATATTTTTATAGTTAATTCGAGAAAATTTCCGTAGAAGTCTTCTATGCTAGTTTTTGTTTAATTTGTCTTTTGTAGAGTGTTAAGTAACTTCAAAATATGTAAAACTCATATTTTCAAATATGTTTTCTCCCTTAGTTTTATTAAATTTGACTAACTTTTTCAACAAAAAACTTGTAAAAATATGATATGTTTTGACTAGTCACTATTTTTTTGTTTCCATCTCTTAAATATTACTGTTTGAAGCACTAATGATGATTATTGTTATGTGTAGATAGTATGATTAAAATGTTTTTTAAAATGTTGTATCAATACGAGACTACCAACATTTTTGTTTATTAAAATGAGAAAAAGACCATTCGAATTTATTATTGCATCTAAGAAATCCAAAGATGAGAACAAAACCATTAGAATTTATTATTTCATTGATTTATAAATGTATAAACACAGATTGTTAGCACATATATTATATCTTGAAAAATTTTACAAACAGAACCATATTCTTATTCTACTCTTGTTTGCTGACCTCACAAATGTCAATAACTGCTTCGATAACAAACATAGAACCATACATGAAAGACTCAGTCTCCTACATACATTATGAAGCACTTGAACAATGTCAGGAGAGATCATCATCTTCAAAAGGAAGTTTAGTTGATTCTGAAAGACCCAAAAAATGATTTGACTAACCCACCATCACTGTATCATGCAGAGAGAGAACTGTAGGTAGACGAGAAGGGACATATAGCTTTACAACATCAACAGACTTGTTCTAATAAATCGGTGTTGAAACTGGTTTAATGGTAGACATTTTAAAATTCGTTAGAAAAGAAAATTGCAATCAGTGTAAACAATTCAGTTTTACGGACGAAAGCTCAGAAAATTTGCACCAGTCATAATCAAATTATAATGATATTTGTTCTTAAATACAGACGGATTATTGATTCTATTTTGTTGAAATTTCTTCTTTGAAAATACAACCCCAATGTGAGCTGTCTTATTTACCGCCCAACTTTATATGTAAAATGGGAACAATCTGATACCACTATTTGGGTTAAGCAATGCGATAGTTGAAACTAAAATAACGACAAATCTGAAAGTAAACAGATTATGATGTGAAAATGAGAATTTAGTTTTGTTTCTATGATTTTATTCATGGAAATTTAAGCCATGGTCCACAAAAGAAAATTACCTGCATCGCCGATATTTATTCCACCCCTATCAAATAAAAAATATAAATATTCAAATCAAATTATAAATATATTTATTATTTTCTTAAATACATAGACGGATTATCAATTCTATTTTATTGAAATTTCCTCTTTGAAAAATACAACCCGATGTGAGCTGGTGTTATTTATTAGGACTTTACCGCCTAACTTTATAAGACAAATAGAGACAAGCTGATCGCATTATTATGGGTTAGTCAATGCAATAATCAAACTGAAATACCGATAAAAACTGAAAGTAAACAGATTATAATGTGAAAATGGGAAGATGTAGCTATGTTTCACTGTTTTTATTCATGCAAATTTAAGCCACGGTCCACAAAAGAAAAGTTTTTGCATCACCAATATTTGTTCCACCCCTATCAAATAAAATAAAACTACAACTATTCAAATCAAATTATAAAGATATTTGTTTCACCCCAATTGTTTAAATACATAGAAGGATTCTTGGTTCTATTTGATTTAAACTTTCTCTTTGAAAATACACCCGATGTGAGCTGGTGTTATTTCTCAGGACTTTACCGCCCAACTTTATAAGACAAATAGATATGATGACATTATTATGGGTTAGTCAATGCAATAGTTGAAACTGAAATACCGATAAAAGCTGAAAGTAAACAGATTATAATGTGAAAATAGGAAGATGTAGCTATGTTTCTCTGTTTTTATTCATGCAAATTTAAGCCACGGTCCACAAAAGAAAAGTTTTTGCATCACCGATATTTGTTCCACCCCTACCAAATAAAATAAAACTACAAGTATTCAAATCAAATTATAAAGATATTTGTTCCACCCCAATTTTTTAAATACATAGAAGGATTCTTGGTTCTATTTGATTTAAATTTTCTCTTTGGAAAATACAACCCGATGTGAGCTGGTGTTATTTCTTAGGACTTTACCGCCCAACTTTATAAGAGAAATAGATATAATGGCATTATTATGGGTTAGTCAAAGCAATAGTTGAACTGAAATACCGATAAAAGCTGAAAGTAAACAGATTCTAATGTAAAAATGGGAAGATGTAGCTATGTTTCTCTGTTTTTATTCATGCAAATTTAAGCCACGGTCCACAAAAGAAAAGTTTTTGCATCACCGATATTTGTTCCACCCCTATCAAATAAAATTAAACTACAACTGTTCAAATCAAATTATAAAGATATTTGTTCCACCCCAATTTTTTAAATACATAGAAGGATTCTTGGTTCTATTTGATTTAAATTTTCTCTTTGAAAAATAAAACCCGATGTGAGCTGGTGTTATTTCTTAGGACTTTACCGCCCAAATTTATAAGACAAATAGATATGATGACATTATTATGGGTTAGTCAATGCAATAGTTGAAACTGAAATACAGATAAAAGCTGAAAGTAAACAGATTATAATGTGAAAATGGGAAGATGTAGCTATGTTTCTCTGTTTTTATTCATGCAAATTTAAGCCACGGTCCACAAAAGAAAAGTTTTTGCATCACCGATATTATTTCTACCCCTACCAAATAGAATAAAACTACAACTATTCAAATAATATTATAAAGATATTTGTTCCACCCCAATTTTTTAAATACATAGAAGGATTATTGGTTTTATTTGATTTAAATTTCCTCTTTGGAAAATACAACCCAATGTGAGCTGGTGTTATTTCTTAGGACTTTACCGCCCAACTTTATACGACAAATAGATATGATGGCATTATTATGGGTTAGTCAATGCAATAGTTGAAACTGAAATACCGATAAAAACTGAAAGTAAACAGATTATAATGTGAAAATGGGAAGATGTAGCTATGTTTCTCTGTTTTTATTCATGCAAATTTAAGCCACGGTCCACAAAAGAAAAGTTTTTGCATCACCGATATTTGTTCCACCTCTATCAAATAAAATAAAACTACAACTATTCAAATCAAATTATAAAGATATTGTTCCACCCCAATTTTGTAAATACATAGAAGGATTCTTGGTTCTATTTGATTTAAATTTTCTCTTTGGAAAATACAACCCGATGTGAGCTGGTGTTATTTATTAGGACTTTACCGCCAATTTTATAAGACAAATAGATATGATGACATTATTATGGGTTAGTCAATGCCATAGTTGAAACTGAAATACCGATAAAAGCTGAAAGTAAACAGATTATAATGTGAAAATGGGAAGATGTAAGCTATGTTTCTCAGTTTTTATTCATGCAAATTTAAGCCACGGTCCACAAAAGAAAAGTTTTTGCATCACTGATATTTGTTCCACCCCTACCAAATAAAATAAAACTAAAACTATTCAAATCAAATTATAAAGATATTTGTTCCACCCCAATTTTTTAAATACATCGAAGGATTCTTGGTTCTATTTGATTTAAACATTCTCTTTGGAAAATACAAACCGATGTGAGCTGGTGTTATTTCTTAGGACTTTACCGCCAAACTTTATGAGACAAATAGATATGATGGCATTATTATGAGTTAGTCAATGCAATAGTTGAAACTGAAATCCCGATAAAAACTGAAAGTAAACAGATTATAATGTGAAAATAGGAAGATGTAGCTATGTTTCTCTGTTTTTATTCATGCAAATTTAAGCCACAGTCCACAAAAGAAAAGTTTTTGCATCACTGATATTTGTTCCACTCCTATCAAATAAAATAAAACTACAACTATTCAAATCAAATTATAAAGATATTTGTTCAACCCCAATTTTTTAAATACATCGAAGGATTCTTGGTTCTATTTGATTTAAATTTTCTCTTTGGAAAATACAACCCAGTGTGAGCTGGTGTTATTTCTTAGGACTTTACCGCCCAACTTTATAAGACAAATAGATATGATGACATTATTAATGGTTAGTCAATGCAATAGTTGAAACTGAAATACCGATAAAAGCTGAAAGTAAACAGATTATAATGTGAAAATGGGAAGATGTAGCTATGTTTCTCTGTTTTTATTCATGCAAATTTAAGCCACGGTCCACAAAAGAAAAGTTTTTGCATCACCAATATTTGTTCCACCCCTACCAAATAAAATAAAACTACAAGTATTCAAATCAAATCATAAAGATATTTGTTCCACCCCAATTTTTAAATACATAGAAGGATTCTTGGTTCTATTTGATTTAATTTTCTCTCTGAAAAAAACAACCCGATGTGAGGTGTTATTTATTAGGAATTTACCGCCCAACTTTATAAGACAAATAGATATGATGGCATTATTATGGGTTAGTCAATGCAATAGTTGAAACTGAAATACCGATAAAAACTGAAAGTAAACTGATTATAATGTGAAAATGAGAAAAATTGACTATGTTTTTATTTAGGGAAATTTACGCCCCGGTTCACAAAAGAAAAATATTTGCATCACCGATATTTGTTTCACCCCTATCAAATAAAATAAAACTATAACTATTCAAATCAAATTATAAAGATATTTGTTCCATCCTATTTTCTTAAATACATAGACGGATTATTAATTCTATTTTAGGATTTTACCGCCCAACTTTATAAGACAAATATAATCAATCTGATGGCATTATTTATCACAAATTTGTAAACCAATAACACGCGTTTTGAAAAGTCTTGTTTGAAACTTTGAATGATACCAGAATTACCATAAAATCTGTATAAATAGATAGAAGCACCCTCTATGTATTATGAAACAGTAAAACAGCAAGTAACAACTCAGACAGAACAAAAAAAAGGGTCAGGAAGTTTCAAAATGGGACTCTCAAACAAGATCTCTAGAGGAGAAGTGAAGCGTGGAGATCACATCTACACATGGTGTAAGGCTTACACCTACGCTCACCACGGTTCTCTCCCTCGCACTCACTTTCTTGGTTATGTTTTTATTGAATGCTTCCCTCAAAAAAGTGGTTTCTCTTAACAGGAATCTATGTTGGCGATGGGAAAGTCGTACATTTCACTCACGGACGTGGTCCAAAAACCGGGATCTACGCTAGTTCATCTCCTAATTATCCTCTGTGTCTGACTTGCGAAGAGCAATCCAGATTCGAAGGTCACAAGGTCATTACCTCTTGTCTTGATTGCTTTCTTGCCGGAGGAAAACTCCGCCTCTATAGATACAAGGTTTCTAAGTCTTCCTTAATTGCCAATAGAGGTGGTACTTGCACATTAGCACCTTCAGATCCTCCTGAGGATGTTCTTTTCCGTGCAAACTTCCATTTAAAGATAGATGGGTGCTTTGGTGATTATCACCTCACAGGAAACAATTGTGAAGATTTTGCTATCTACTGTAAAACTGGTATACTTGACTGCAAAAAGAATAGCGTTGGAATCAGTGGTCAAGTCAATGCGGCTACTGCAGCTATGATTTCTCTAGCCATTAATAGTGTCACTGGGTTAGGTACGGTCGCATTTATTGTGTACTGGCGCAATCGCGTTGCTCATGACGTAAGTAGGAATGCTAATTCTATCAAGTTCCCAGCGGAGAAGCTCGATTCCATATTGAAATCGGATTGTAGTTCACCAAAAGAAGCCTGGTTGAGCATCGCCGGTGCCTAGTTTGTGGGTAAATGATGATTATGAAAGCTCAAGATGTTTGTTTCGTGTCCAGAAAGTTTCAGTTTGAATTTTAGTTTGAACAAGTCTCTTTTATTGAATAAGTCTCCTTGGTTTGTGATGGAGTTGCAGAAATTAACCGGCGCGTGTTTTCTACTCGTTGTCGTTTTATTTAGTTGTTAATAAGGGAGACTATCATCCTATAGTCTAGGAACCTTAACTCCCACTTTCCAATTCCAGTATTGTAGGAATCAATGATTCCAACCTCTGTTTCTTTCCTGTATAAATCAATGAAAAAGCCAAAAAGAGGCAATATCAATTGCCCAATAAAGCATTGTGTTCTTATTTTCTTTCAGTTTGTTCAATTACATTATCCTCAAGTATCGCTATCAGTTTGTAGGAGAGTGTCTTGAGTTGTTTAAGCTAGTTAGTTGAGTCTACGTATGTTTTCGGAAGTAGTTGTTGCAAGTTGATTAGCTCTCCCCACAAGAAGGCTTTCTGATCACAAACCATTTCAACCACATATCTGGTATATCATATCAGTTTTAAAATTCCAGTGACAACTCCGTGAAGGATAACAGAGTTAACTGAACCTAGAGAAATACCAGCAATTTCTTTCTTTTTTTCATAATAAGTCTCGAGTGTGCTTCGTAGTTCTATATTTCTTAGAGTCTATTAATGAGTGCCGTGTAGAAGTCTACCGTAGACAGGGGCAGAGGAAGTAAAGGGGAAAGGGGGTCATCTAACCCCATTATATTTTAAAAATTAATTGTTCTTGTTTAAGAAAAATTATATTGACCCCATAAAATAATTAAAAACATTTTAAATGAAAGATAATTTTTATTATATAACAATATGTTTATTGTATTTGTTAAACATTTTGATTTTAACTTAAAGTTTAGCAAAAATGTTTTTAATTTGGATTCTAGTTACATATTTGTGCTAAGCACAAATTGTATTAGGCCTAGATTATATATCTATGTGTACTTCTTAAATATCTACAAAACCAGGTTTTTTCATATGTATATTCTTATAAACATGTATATTTAACTATATCTCTCAAGATTTTAAGCAGTCTTCTTCTTTTTTATTAAAAAAATTAAGATTCTTTTTTCTTGTTATACTATACACCTTTGCTTATATTATTTTACTAAACTAGATATAATTATGATTTTAGATTCAGTTCAATAAAACCATTTAAGATTTATCTTCATGATCTAAATATTTTCAAAAGTTGGTATTATTTTAAAAAACAAACTAATCTTTTAGTTTATCAAATAAAAAACCTCACAGATCAATTTATTTGAATAGAAAATATCCTTCAACGGATGATAGTTCAAAGATAGAGAAATACCTCGTCAAAACATTATTATGAAATTATACAGGTATTTAGTTTTAAGTGATTATGGTATTTCTTTTATTAAAAGAACTAGGATAAGACCCGCGCCTTGCGCGGGATGAAACTATTATTTTTATTATATTTTTAAAAATGAAACAATAGTTCGGTTTCATTCGGATTAGAGGTGTTCAATCCGGATATCGGGTTTCAGTTCGGCTCGATTTTTTGGTATTTCGATCATTAAAATATAACTACTATTCTAAATCTATATGTACTTCAGTTTGATTTGGTTTATATACCATCGGTTTTCAGTTTATTCAATTTTATACCAAAAACATAATTATTTAGTTTGAGATCATATTATATATTATACAAATATATAATATGATCATATTTAGAGTCATATTGTCACAGTCATTTATTAAAAAAATATTATATATTTAAAAAAAAAGAATAAAAAAAGGCTTCTATCATCTAATAAAATGATCAAATCTAGAATTAATATCAAAACACTAAATTTTGAAAAGAAAAATAAAAAACAAAACAGAAGCATGAAAGAAAAGTTTTTATATTCTTCCATATTTAGTGTTCATCAAACCAATATGTCTTCGATTGAACACAACTCTGTTTGTTTAAAGATAAAAAAAGTTGTAAAGAATTTCAACTAATTGTTGTCCATCAAATTTATAATCTTTACTTCAATTTAGTTACTGTTAAAAAAGCAAAAGATCAAAATAAGAAGTCTTAAATGTAATAAATTGTTAGCTATCTACAAATTATAATTATAGTTCAACTCATGTAACAAATAGATATTCATGCGTCATTATAAATATATACATATTTACATGTTTCAGTTTAATCGATTATAAATCAAACCATATCCAAATCCCATGGTTTTTATAAAATCACATCCATACGGTTTTTATGGTATATACCAAAAATAACCATATTATCGATTGTTAATATCTTTTAAAAATATAAAATTAAAAAGAACTAAGATATTTAAATCATTGATAACAAAAAATTTCAATGTGAAAAATTTAATAAGTTTATAATTTATAAATGTTCTTGAAAATTTATTGAAAATTTTGAAATTAAATATTTATGTAATCTTATATGGTGTATAGTTTAATCTGTATATATATATTTGTTTTATTATTGTATGATAATTTTTACTTATATGGTTTTAAAATCATGTATATCTTTTTATAATAAAATGTTAAACTATTGATCATTAATTTTTAACAAAATAATTTTAATAGTTTAGTTATTTATTCTCGTTTCTTAAAATTCAAAATATAACCTATACGAAAAAATCTAAAGTTTAATTTTATAACTAATTTGATTGTTTAATTTATTTTAATAATATAAAGTTAAAGAAAAATGATGGAGGATATATAAACTGTTATCAAATATTTATTATTAGAATCATTGTCATATATATATTAGTCATTTATGGTAATTCCGTAGGTTTTATTTATGGAAAAAAATAAAATAGTAATTATATCTTAGGGAACAATCATTAAGTGTCATATATATATATATTAGTAATTTATGGTAATTCCGTAGGTTTTATTTATGGAAAGAAAATATCATATCATATCATTATATCATATAGTTTGACTAACTAATGTATCTAGTAACCTATAAAAATCCAATGTGGACTTACTTATTTTTCAATTGAATCTAATTGACTACCTAATTGAATGACACCTATGCATTGGGACCTCTTTTAATTAATACAAAATTGAGGTTACATCTTTTCAAATGTTTCTCAATTAATATATAGGGGATATTAAAAATAGAAAAGGAAACTGTGATAAAAAAAAGTTCATGAGTGATTGTGAGAATATTCGTGTTTTTGACAGTTGATTTTTTTTTTCATTATTACCATGCATGTGATGTGAATGTGAATAGGTTTTATCCGATGCCTTGTTGCGAGAGGTTTTTTGGGTCTCTAATCAAAAAAAATAAAAAGAGATAGTGTGATATGGAAAAATAAAATAGAGAAAAGGATTTTTCAAAAAGAAAAAAAAAAACACGGTTTCAGAATTATATAAAAAGTCAATTACTAGACAACTTGTTAAAGAATAAAGAAGAAGGTTGTAACTCTCATTGTATTATTAATCACGTGGTTACACATATATATATACATACAAGAGAATAAAGCATATTCCTTAGGAGATAAGGATTGCTACAAATAAAGGGGATGATTATCCTAATCCTATAATGATTAGGATAACTACAACATATGGATAAATACAAGGGAGGATAATGAC